TTTCAGTCCCATTTTCAGTCAATTTCCGGGTCCGGTTCAGTTCAGTAAATTCATGTCAGTTCAATTTCCGATTTTAGCCAGTTTTGGTTATACCGGTTAAATCCAGATATCATGTATAAGTCCAGTAGAGCATCTTAACATATTTAAAAGGTTATTTTATCAGTCTGAGCATAGTATTTAGTAATTGTTTATATTATTTTCAGTTTGATCAGGATACGATTGTCAGCACTACCTTTTTATTCAGACGAATCAGGTGGGGGCTCAGACTGGGTATTACATTGATTATAATTATTCTACAATGTTTGAGTTATGTATTATCAGCATCCGCTCGGAATGGTCGTCGATCCATTCTGGGTTCTAGTGGCCTCAATCTGCCCACTAGAGTGTGCACATGGTGTCCGACATTAGTATTTATGCTGGCAGATGTTCAGGTATCAGGCAGGTGACGATTATCTCACCATCGGGATCAGATCATGATTATTCAGTATCGGTATCATGTTCATGTTCATGCCAGGATCATGTTATTGTAATTATTTTCACTGTTTACTTTAGTATGAGTTTCCACGGTGCACAGTGGACTTTGGTGCTCACGACCCACTTTTATCATGTTTTTCAGGTCATGGAGTCGGGCCGGAGGTGTGAGATGACGAGGGGTTCAGGACTTATGCTTATAAAGTTTAAATTTTACGGGAGCTATGCTTATAAAGTTTAAATTACGTTATGTACAGTTTGAATTTAGCATAGCAGTGCTATTATTATCTCCCGTAAACTTATTTTCACGAACATAGCACTGTTATCCTGTTTTTCCACTACAGTTTCCGCTGACGTTTCACTTTTGTCAAACTTAGTCCTTTTGACTATCAGTAGATTGCGAGTCCGTTTTCTTAAAAACAGTCTGATTTGAAGGTAAGTCATGTATTATAGTAGCACTCCGCATCAGTATTTTACGAACCAAACAGTATTTTATGTTAAAGGGTTTGTATAAATGCACTCTGATTTTCATGATAAAGCGGGGTGTTACAGTTGGTATCAGAGCACGTTTCTGCGTCTCTGAAAATTTTTACGAGTCAGAAAGTTTCAAAAAACCTGAACACGTCACGCTCACGCCTCGCCGACTATAGGTAAGTGTTGATTCATGTTTTCAAATTATAAACAAGTTACTATTTCTATGCTCAGAAAGTTTCAGTTATAAATTAGTTAAGATGCTCAAATCATGTTCAGGATCAGTAGTCAGGATATCAGTCAGTATTTTTCCAAGTCATGTTTAGTTACCCATCAAGAGATTTGTGCGCTTTATTGATCAGTTAAAATATTTCATTGTATTTTAATCATGTTGAACCTTTTCAATGATCAGATGCCGCCCCGTAGAGAACCCGACCGTCCTATTGTTTCTCAGGCCACGATAGTCGCACAGTTTCTTGACTACTACCCTGAGAAGTTCTCCGGTCAGGGAGATCCGCGTATTGTTTATGAGTGGATTCAGGGCCTTGAATTGATTTTCGAGGTCATGGACTGTCCAAATCGCTATCGCGTTATTTGCGCACAGCTTCAGTTAACCGGTGATGCTCGACTC